TGTGCTAAAGATAGTACAAGATTAAGTTGTCTAATAATCTGAAAGCTTGCCTTATAGTTGGACTTAATGTTGCGCTAACATTTATCATTTTGGTTGAATTATTGTTTTCTGCAAGGGTAACTATAAAGGCTACACGTACAGATTCTTTGCAACTTTTTCAAGTGAAGTCAATCAGAAAGTTTCATTCAGTAAGTTGAAATGATTCGCATTGAGGGAAACCTGGTAAGGGTAATCTAACTTATAGAAGTAGTGAGACCAGGTCGAATCCCAAGGGAACCAGTGAAATTAATTTCTCAAAGTTAAAAAAAATGGGGGGTTTGTATTTAAATTTTGAAATTAAAAAAATAAACTAAAAGGAAAAGGAAAGTCAATCTTACCGAGCTTCCAATCCAAATGTGTGATTTTCATCCAGTTGTAATCTTGATCATAGGCTTTATATAAAAAAATCGATTTCTTGATTCAAGAACTTAGTCTACTTACTCGGAACAGCCGTGGTAAGTTTTAATTCTCCTAATTTAATTAATTTAGATCAAGAATCAAAATTATATCTTATTAATTAATCAACTGGGCACGATAGCGTTCCATATTAATCAAAGAATAGCATTAAGGATGATGAGACTGACTAAACCAAAATCAATTAATTTGAGATAGCTGCAAGTTAATTAATTTTGTCCCTTTGTTTCCCTAGAGTCTATTATGTCAGCTATGTAAACATGGAAAAGCCATAAATACACACACATAAGCCAACCCCTTGCTACTTATTTCAATCATTCATGACAATTACGAATCACAAACTCATGGATAGCAGTAGAACAATTAATATGAATTAAGGCGTCAATTTAATTAATATAAACTGTTCATAAATAATAAGAACAAGAAACAAAAAATACTTGAAAAATAAGAAATCTCTATCTAACTTGAGCCTCCCAAGCTTACAATCGAACTTCAATCACCCTTGAGTTGGAAGAATTAAAGCCTAGTCACTCATGGTGGTGGGAGAGAACTTGAATTTTGGAGGAGAGAGCCTTTAGTTGGAACTTGGATGATGGATCTCCCAATAAGGCTTTTCTAATTATAGAGATTAACTTTATCCTCTTTTAAGGAGGAATTATCTCTAATAAGGAATTCCTAAAAGAAAACAAATTAAATAAAAGAGTTCCTAATCAATTGAGGATTATGTTTCCTACTTTGATTATATCTCTTTATTTACAAAATATCCTAACAATTCATAATTCTCAAATTGAAGCTTCCCGCCATAATAATTGTATCTGTATTTATCCGTTGAACTCTTCCCAATTTGGTGAAGTCCACATTATCCTCTAAAATTACGTTTTTAAATTATCATTCTTGAATATCTTCAATCTGCCACAAAATTATAAATTATAATTAAATTCAAATATTTAAACATAATAAATTAATAAAATTTAAAATAAATATATAAAATATGGGTGTATTTTTCGTCTTATCAAAACCTTTGAGGGAGATGTTTTGCAACATGAGAATTTGAGTGTTGTCTACCATCCTGGAGAACTTAAGCTTAGGGAGCTTTCTTTGGATTGGCCTACTAGAAGGTATATGTCATTCAATACAACTTGAGGTTTAGAGCATTGTTTTAAAAGTTGCAATTCAAAGATTACTCATTGAGGTATCGTGGTTGCTAATGTATTGTTTAATGAAGATTTTGAAGCTATTGTTGGCGATTTTGGCTTCGCAAAGTTGGTCAGTATCAGAATGACTAGTTTCACTTAATTTTTAGAGATAATGGGTCATATAGAACTGGAGTATTTATTTACTAAAGAACCAACAGAAAGAATGGATATTTTTTGTTATGACATGATGTGTTTGGACCTTGTTACATGTCAAATTGACTTCTTGTATTTTGCGGAAGAAAATAATGTTTTATTCCTCAGTCGTGTCAAGAAACTGAAACGGGAGAAGCAACTCGGTGCTACTTTGGATCATTTTCACATGGGGGAGACAAAAGCAACGATTACTCTTATGGAGCAAGATTGAAGCAATAAAAAGTGCAATTCTTGTTGATCGTACGTTTACACTAAGGGAGAGTATTAAAAATTAGTACAAGTATGTGTTAGATTCTTTGTTAGTATTTTCACATTTTAGGAGTTGTGTTTGGTAGTTAAATGTCATGGTTGATAGTTAACTAAGCAATGGATAAGTGGATGGGGTAAGTTGGAGAGTTTATAAGTTAGTGGCTTAGTGGAGTTGTCTTGTTGCTTTGGAGAGAATTTGAACGGCAATAGCCTATAGTGAGTTAGTGGTTGGTTATTACTTTTATTATAAATACTTTAACAATTATAAATTTTATGAATTGAAGTTATGCCTTCTTACAATTTTTTTTTCTGGCTTCTGTTTTGTTGTTCTCTTTATTTTTTTTTTTACAAAAAAATTTATAAAATGCGAAATTTGAGCGGAAAAAAAGTGTTGGACAATATTAAAAATTTTAGAAAGAGAAAAATGACAATGATATGTTAGACACATGAAAATTTTATAGAGAGAAAAAAATAATAGTAAATATGAGATTGCTAAACAGGTTTGAGATCATCTGGCCAATTTGGATACATTCTAAGTTTGCCAAACAATATCAATTAGAGATGGATATTCATGCGCTTCAATAGATATGAGTATTCAAGACTTTTACTCCTCTATAGACACCGTATTTGGTCCGGCTTATTTTTAATTTTAATTTATATTATTGTATTTTACTTTATTGAGATTTATTTTAATTAAAGAATAACATAGGTTTACTTTATTATTAGTTTTAATATAAAGTTTAAATTAACTAAAATTAAAATGTTAGATTTATTTAAATGTTTAATTTTATAAAAAATGGTTTGTTCAGATTTTGATAAATAAAATTAATTTGTTTTAAAAAGATTTTGTTTTAATTAAATAAAGATTTTATTTTAACAAAACCTTTGATTTTTAACCGTTTTTTTCCTCTTTGATTTTTTCCTTGTCAAAGGCACTTAACGTGACATCTTCTCCCTTCCCTTCCCTTCTTCTCCTCCCTCTTTTTCTCTCTTCTCTTGCCTCTTTTTCTTTTTTACCGTTATCTTTAGTTGTATTTAAAGAGGGTTGCAGTGGAGAGGAGGGAGAAGGACAGAAAAACACACGGTGCAGAGAGTTAGAAACTCATCACCTCATCACCATATCTTTTCTCTCCATCTCTCCCACCATCACCACTTTTCTCTTGCATACCCACGACCTCCGACGACGCAAGGGAACGACGCGAACGACAGCAGCAGCTTCTTCCAAGCCCGCTGGCACTCCGATGATCTCCCACCAGTAGTGCATTTTAAGTAAGCATCAAATACCTTGGAAAGGGAAAGGCTTTGGAAATCATGCTTTTAATTTGAAATAGATTCTTTTGTTTCTATCAAAAGATTTTTTTTTGTTTTTTTAAGAAAAAGTTTTTTTTAAGAAAAAGTTTTTTTTTTTACTTTTTTTTAAAAAGAAAATGTTTTTAGTAACGAAAAAAATCTTCTAAATCAATTTAAATAAGTTTTTGAAAATAAAATAAGGATTTTGATATTTTAAAATTTGTTTTAAAATAAAAGGTTTTCTTTTTCTAATAAAGAAGAGTTTTTTAAATGAAATAAATATAAACTTAATTTTATTTTAATAAAATATTTTACTTTAAAATTTTGGTTAAAATACGTTGAAAAAAATAGGAGTTTTATAAAATAAATCTTCTTTAAAAAAATTTGGATTCTTTTAAATTTGGATTCTTTTTATTTAAAATGATTTTTTTTACAAGGTTTATATTTTTTGTGTTACCTTTGTTTTATTTTTTAATTAAAAAAGAATCTTCTGCTGCAGGATTTTAAAGGAGGAGTTAAAAACAGAGTATTTTAGAATAAAATCTCATTTAAAATTCTTTTAATGGTTTGGTGGTTATGGTTTTGAAAAAATCTTAACAAAAAATCAGTTTTTTTAGCAAATAAGTTTTGTTAAAGTAAATTTGACTTTGTTTTTAAATAATTTTTTTTTCCTTTTAAATAATTTTGTTAATTTCGAAATAAAAAAGATATTTTTTTATATATATTTTTTTAATTTAACAAAATTCGTAGTTTTTTTTTTAGTTTAAAAAATAAATTAAAACTTTTGTTTCTGTGAAAGAATTTGATGTTTACATCTTAAGATGTTGGCACAGTAGTAAGATGTTTGTTTTTTAATGTATATGACCCAAGTTCGAGTCTTGAAAATAACTTATATCTCAAAGTGGTGGCACATTGGTGTGATGTTTTAGTGTCAACACTCATGTCGCAAGTTCAAGTCTTAACGTTCATTAAAATTAAAATTATTTTTTATTGATTATTTTTTTTTGCTAAATAATTATTTCAAAAACTCCAATGACGGGAATTGGAACCTTTCAATATTCTCGAGGTGTCAAAATTTTTCTAATGGCCTTCGTGCCACTCATACCTATTAATTCATATCTTATAATAAAATGTGAATTAATATAATATGGAACATTTAAAATAAAATAAAAACATTTTTTTTTTGGACCAAATAAAATAATAGGATAATGTTTGACAAAATGTGGTACCGTGGGTACTAACACCTTCCCTACGCTCAGTTGACTCCCGAACCAACAATCTGTTTTCGCATACCTTGTTTTTATTTTTAGGTGACCAATCACACCTCTTAGATGATTGGTGGCGACTCCAAACCCTTATCTCGAAAGAGACCCTTAAGGGGGTGACGTCGGCCGCTCCGCTGACGTTGCGACAGCTTGGCGACTCCACTGGGGATATTAAGAGAGTCAAGCCATTTAGTTTGTCATTTATTACTCTATTGTAATATGTTTTTGGGTCCATTTTTTGTTTGTTTTTTTTTCTTCATTTAATTGTATTAATATTTTATTTTGCATCATCATGCATCTCACACACATTCACAAGCCTCCTACCCGGGCTTTACCTTTTTAGGATTAGATCGGAGACTGAGTAGTGTGACCTTCGTGGAATTGGTATTTATAGGTATTGCCATTGGTATTGGTATTTATTGGTATTGGCATTGGCATTGGCATGTGGTTGTTTGTTGGCATTCATATTGGCATTGGCGTTGGTATTGGCTGGAATTAGCATGGTTGTTCGTTGGCAGGTTGCAAATTCTACGGTATTCTGCAGCTTCAACCTTGTTTTTTCTTTTTACCTTCATTTGGTTTAGTTTTAGTTTTATTCTTTTAAGATTAGGTTTGTTTTTCTATTTTGATTTAGGTATTAGTTTTGACTTATTTAGCAAACTCACAATTTAGTATAGTATTGTGAGTTTGAGGAAGAGTGTTGGATATTATTATTTGAATTATAATTAGGTTAGAATTAAATGTTATTTGAATTAGATTTTGTTTAGATTATATTATTTGAATTAGATTTCCTATTCCTATTATGATTGTAGATTAGGAATTATAGTATTATAAATAGGTCATTGGGTTCATATCAAGCAATTCAATTCAATAAAATCCTATATGTCATAATTCTCTCGATTTTCTCTCTCCTCCTCAAAGTTAACAGGTTGCACTGTTAATTATACAAAAGAAGTTGGTAATCCAAGAATATAGCTAATATGTTTAGGACAATACACTTCATATTTCAACAATGATATGATATTATTTATTTTGGGTAGAAAGTCTCGTGACTTTTCTTTTGGTTCTACTCAAAAGACTATAAAGATAGTTGTCCTTATAAAATTTGCTACGCATCTTTACTTTTATCCGGTCAATATAGGACTTTGGTCGCACTACCAATAGCTAAATGATAAAAAACGCGTTAACATGATTCACGATTTTAGAGGGTCTACTTTAAAAATTAAAGGAAGATGTCAAATCTTTGTTAGATATCCAATATATGAATTAAATTTACCCAACCAGCTTAAAACTTTTGGTTTGAGGGGTGGTTTATTCATTTTTAACATTGTATCAGAATGGGAGGTCATGTGTTCGAATCCCTACATTGTTGTTTCCTCCCCATTTATTATGAGCCGTTCTATTAATTCATATCTCGACTGTGGCCGACAAGGGCTTTATCGTAATTGTGTATGGAGGCCACTAGTATAAGGTTGATCTAAATCATCTTTATCAGAGTAAACAGTTAACTATTGTTGTTGAAAATGATAACTTATTTTATTATACTTTTTCTTTAATTTAAACTTGGACAATGATGACAACAAAATTTTTTGGATTCTTTTGAAAATATGTGTCAATCATGATATTAAATATTCACCCATACGTGAATATTTCTGTCGATATTTTTATGTATCTATAGATTCGAAATCGACATAGATGATATAAAAAAAACTGACAAAATATGAAAAATATCAACAAAATGTCATTAGTATATACATAACATTAATATTAATTATTTTTAACTTATTTAAAAATAGAATAATTCTCTAACTTTTATCAATATATCTATCAACATCGATATTTTATCGATATTTTCATCTAAAATATTTCTATGAAATTGAGATTTCGACATTTCTATTGACGTCGGCATTTAAAATCTTGACGTCGACATTTAAAATTTTGGATAGGTTAAAATTTTTTAAAATAAAATATTTTATTAGACTTTAAAACTTTAAGATACAAATAATAATGATAAATTAACTCTACTTGTAAAAGAAAAATTGAGGATTTTATCAAAAAAATAAAATAAAATTGGAGGATATTAAAAATAAATGATATATGTACTGTACTACGATTTCTTTTCCCGGCAAAATATATGCTTTTAGTCTTTAAATTTAGGTGTTTTTCTTTTCCAGTTTGGTTCCTAGTTTTTTACACGTTTCAATTTCATACTCCATATATTGTGATTTTTTTTTGAAGTTAAATTGTAAAATGTAAATATTAATTGACAAAATAATCATATTATGTCCAAATAAATTTTTGTTAACTGAATTAGAAATATTTTATGTTTTAATATGATGAAATAGACCTAATATGTAGGATTTATTAAATCCTGTTTATGCAAAGATGTGCACAACAGTGTGTTCCAGATTGCAGCTCGAACTCGGCCTTCGGACCGACCTGAACGCTTGGGCGAACCTGCACAAAAATGTGAGCACTCCGACGATCAAGTCAGTATAGGTCGGATTCCCAGTTTAGTTCGAGGCCAGAAATCATCATACCTGATCGGGGAGTGAGGTCCTCTACTTATGGGTGGTAGTCCCGCTAATCTCGCGACGGTTACATTCGGTAATCTCGGGACCGTCGGTTACACCCGGTAATCTCGGGACCGACGGTTACGCCCGATAATCACGCCGCAGACAGTTGCTCACATCGGCCCCTACCGAGCTCCCCGGTAGGTCAGACCTGGGCCAGGTTCACCTCGGCCCTCATACTTAGCATTTGTCGACGTTAGTGGCGGCCACCTCGGCTATCCGAGCTGAGCATGACTCATGAGCCATCTTGGAGCACCAATAGGGGTCCTCCACGTGTCCAGGGTATTCCCTTCCCCAAACATTGGCCCCCTCTCTGTCTGGTCCGATCTCGACCTGGCAGAGAAGTTCATTCGACTTGCTTTGGACACGTGGCGACTTCCTATTCGTGGGAAAATACAACCGTCGC